TCTACATGCAAGAAGCAAACGACGGACTTCCGACTGACGTCTAGAAGCTGTATTGCAACTGCCAACCCGAGTAGCGGCGGACGCTCAGCCCCAATAACACCGGGGCGTTTAGGGGAGCCATGGGGAGGTTAAGCAGGGGAGCAGTGGTGCGAGGGGTTGGAGCTTTAGGGTGATGGGAAGGTGAAGCGCCAGGTAACCCATAGATAGACAGACAGACGGACGAGGACAAGTTACTCGTTTGATTCGATCCAAACGGAGGGCAGTGTGCCCCGGGAGGAGGTGAATTCGGGGGTGAGAGGAGGTTTTGTGTGGGAATGTGCGTGTGGTGGTGTGTCGCGATGCGTACAGCATCATCACCGCGACGCCCGCGATCTCCATCTCCATCTCCATACACCCCGCACAGGTAAGGACCGTAAGAGTCTGGCGGGTTCTACACCCAACAGCCCGCGACTGGCTAGCAGCGGCAGTGGAAGTGCGGCGTACTCGTCCTCTGTTGCCAAGTCAAGCTTCAGTCTGCAGTCGCCGGACGAGTTTCTGCCGTTCGTGGTGCCCTTCCTGGGCAGCAATGGGCCTCTGGCAGGTAGTGCTGGGGTTAGGAAGGAGGGTAGGAAGGAGGGTAGGGGGGAGGGTAGGGGACAGAGGGTGGGTGTAGGATGGTGGGGACTGTGTGTGCACGTACATGTGCAGGTGCCCGTGCCCGTGCGTGTATAATTTGCACTCCGTCTAATGGCAAGATCACCCAAACTCCGAACCCCTGAGTTCCCCCCATTATTTGCGCATCTCTGTGTGGGGTGGGTGGGTGGGGAAAGGGGCCTTGTGGGCCAGGAGCGTCTGAGTGCTGTCTGCCTGTCAGCCATCATCATCATTATAATCGCCAAACCCACACACATCCGCAATTGCCGCATCCGGTCGTTTCTCTCTCTCTCTCACTCCTTGCATGCGATTCTCCACACACATACACACACTCTCTCTCTGTCTCTGTGTGTCTCTCTCTCCCCCCCGTTCCCAGGTGGTGCGGCCCCCGCCATAGCCAGTCGTTGGAACCACCTGGCCGTCTCAGCGCAACGAGGCCCAGGTCCGCTTTACCTCTTCCCGCTGCCAGCCGAGTACGAGCGAGCGCTGCAGCGGCGACTCAACCTCACTCACGATATGCGCAGCAAGTTCAAGCAGGTAACGGACGGGGTTGCTGGTGGAGTGGGGGGAGTGGGTGCGTGCGTGGGGAGTTTCGGAGGGTGGGGACGGCAGTTGGCAGTTGACGGTTGGTGTGAGGTGATGATTGCGGTAGGGGCGGTAGGGGGTTTGAACGATAACGGTGGTGTGCTGGCTGGCAGGGGTAGGGCTAGGTGCTGGTTGGTTGGCTGGTAGAACTGAGGGGGAAAGCTGTGTAGGTCCTACTCTTAGGGTTGGGCTTCTAAAGGTGTGTCATCGCCCTCTGCATCATGCAGCCTCCATCTTTTACCCGTACTGCGCGCTACAAACCGTCCTGACCCCGTGGTATGCCGTACGCGGTGCACCTCCAAAAAACGTGAGAAGTTCACAGAGCAGTCGCGGCCCCGAGGAGTTCGCAGAAGAGCAGTCTCGCGTCATCGCCCATTGGACTACTCCTCCTCCTGCAGTTTGCGGCGACTTTGGACGCCTTCCGGCAGTTATTGTTTTCCCCCTTCTTGACTTCTTGGCAGGGCACGGCATTGTACAACAATCCCCCATCCATCCTAAACCGCTCCAACCCTCCCCGAACCCATGTTTTGGGCTTTGGATGCCTTCCGGCAGTCAGTCCGTTTTTTATTATTGTTTCCCGGCATTTGATTGCCCCCACGCCCCCCACCACCACCACCCGGTTTCAGGCTGGTTTGACGAAGGACAAGGAGCGGGAGTTGAATGACGCCATTCAGAGCTACTTCAAGGAGTGGCTGGTCGGCTCCAACCTGCTGAGGCAGATCTACGACCTGTCCACACTGGAAAAGGAGGAGATGGCGGCGGCGGCTGCAGCCAGTGCCAGTGCCTCGGCGGTGGGGCTGTCACCCATTCCGGGACCAGCGGGCCTGGCGGACGCGCGCTGAGAAGATCGGAACGCGGAAGCGGAAACCTTATGACAGCGGAGTCGACTCGGCCCACCTCAGCTCAGCTCGCCGCGCCGCGCCGGTCTCATATGCGGCTGTAGCGGCCGCCGCTGCCGGGGCGGGGGAAGTAGCACAGCTACTGCCCGGGGCCCGACGGGGACGTGTGATGCGAATATACCGACAGCCACGTGCACCAACCATAGACGTACGGAGGAGGGGGGTTGCGGTATTTTGGGTAAGGGCTTCGTCTATAGCAGCTGTGACATCATGCGCTGTGACTCAATTACATTTCCGCTGACGCTGGTTGTACTGGTGGTGGTGGGATGGGATGGGATGGGGTGTTGCACTTACCTTTGGAAATTAATGGTCGATGGATGGATGGATGTGTGGATGTGTGTCAGGTCTGTCTTTGTGGTTGCGAATGCGAGGTGGCAACTGGGTGAGGTGTGGGAGTCTTGAATGTTCTGACAGATGACGTTGCACCCGTCTAGTCGTGGTGTTGTGTAGGGTTGGGACTGGTTTCGGAGCTGACAAGGAGGACTGCCCATTTACTACGTGTTGCAGTAGTATAGCTGTGTTTGCGTAGGAATATGGTTTTCTGTAAGGCTGTCTGTCCGTATGTCCATGCATGCTTTAAATGTGGGCGGTTGTGGTGCAGTGGGGTTTGGGGCCTAACCTTAAAAAGGGGCGCTGTTGTGTGTTTTTAGGGATTTGTCAACATGGTAGGTGTAAGGACATACATACAATGGGTTACAGGGCGGTTTGGGGAGCAGGAGCCGAACCGCTTTGGGCTTGTGGGGCAGGCATTTTCTCTCTCACTCTCCCTCCTTCGCGGCTGGTGACGATGATGCACGCAAAAGCTCTTAACAAAAAATAATTGAAAAAATCACAGAACTCTCTGACACTGAAGTTGTGCGTGTGTATTTGAATATACAGCGTGTGTCGAGTGCCATGTAAGAAACACTTTTGCTGCGCGCTGTCGAGTTGCAGTGCATGCCTACTACCTTCACCTGCCTGCCTTTTTTTCATCAGCACGCCCCACACACCCGACTCAACAGCACAGCTTTACACATTTTCCTTCAATCACGCTCACTCTGACTTAATAAGTGATACGAATACTCCAAACCCTGTCGCAACGCGTTGGTCGATTATCGCTGGGCACTAGAGCAACAATATTAACGCAGCCATCAACGTATGTACGGCATCAGTGGTTCGTACTCCCCAGCGTGTGCTGCCTCCCATTTCGCTGTGTCGCCGCAGCCAGTTCGCGGCCTCACCACGCCCCCCTGCCCAACCTCTGCTGGTTCCCGCGGGTATACTCGACACCGTACGACCTCCCACGTGTCCCGCAACATGCCGTACTTTTGTTCGTACACTAACGCTCGAGTGGCGTCGTCCTCGTGCTGCACCATGATTGACGGCGCGCTGTTGAACTCCAGTAACCACGGCTTCAGCCGCTCGTCCAACAGAAAATCCACGCCGAGGACCTGGAATCCGTACTCTTGTACGGCAGGTCGTAACCAGGCGTGCGCTTCCACTAGCGATGGTGCCGCGGCTGCTAGTGCGCGACTGCAGGCGCCGCGCAGCGCTTCCCACACGCCGCTAAATCGTGCCGGCCCCAAATGCTCAGCCAGTTGATGGAGCCCCCAGACCAGAGTGTTGTTGTTGCGCGCGTAGTTGGTGATGTGGCTGGCGGGGAGCTGGTAATGCGCCGCGGCGGCAGAGGATTCCGGCGGTGGCGGCGACAGCGGAGGGCCAGCGGCAGCGGCGCCGCCGCCACCACCACCGCGCGGCTGCTGACGCTCCGCGGCGGCCTTGTCGTACGGATCGGTGCTGAAGAGCACTAGCCCTCGTCTAGTGCTCATCGCCCCGAGAAATGAATTGTTGACGGCGGGCGGGACAGACAGCGGAAGGTTGAGAATGGGAGAGCGCACTCGGTACACTAACGAAGCGGGTTTGGAGGCTAGGAGAGATAAGTAAAGGGACAGAAACACAGTCACACTCACACCCGTCCGCTTCAGCTTCCGCTTCTCGCCCTGAACTCTCCCCCTCCCTCCCACACACACACACTTCCCCTCCTTCACTCCACCCCTCCACAACTTCCTCCCCCCCTACACACATACACATTTACCTGTGCAGGTACGCCCGCAGCGGGCTATGACACGTCACCAACAGCCACAGCCGCAGGTGAAACTTGCGACCCAGGACCAGGAACGGGTTTGTGATGTACTGCTGGGCCACCTGCAGCTGGAAACGCCTACTGCTGCTGCTGCTGCCGCTACTGCCGTCGTCTCCTTGCTGCTGCTGCTGCTGCTGCTGCAGCCTCTCACGCGCGTACTTCAGCGCCGATTCGGCAGGCAGCAGGCTCAGGCCCTTGCCTACACGCAAGTCGCGCAAAGCTTCGTAATTAAGATGGGGTGCAGCAGAGATGCGATTCCCCTTCCTCGAGGCGAGGGTTCGGGGGGGAGGGTGTTGAGGGTTGTGGGGACGAACCATTGGCAATTGAAGCAGATGCCAGAGATCAACGGTCGCGGGGGTTGGTGGAGGGAAGAGAAGAAACGCCATTAGGCTGAAAGAGAGGAAAAAAACCTTTCCCTCCCCCATATCCCCCCCTACCTCCCCTCCTCCCCTCCTCTCCCCCCCCCACACACACTCACCCGCGTCCTGACCAGTCTTGAGGATCCAAAGCGAGGAACCAAATCCACCAATATCACCTCCGGCACCATTTCCACTCACATTGCCACCACCACCACCGTCACCGCCGTCATCACCCTGTCCCTCCTCCCTCCCTTGGCTCTGCATCCCCTGCTGCTGGTTGTTGCGGTTGTGGCGGTTATAGTGCTGTTGTTGCCGCTTCAAGAAGTCCTCCCAGGCGCCCATGTCCTCGGGGAGCGCGAAGGAGCAAGGTGTGATGGCGAAGGCCGCCTCCGGCCCCAGCGCTCCCCTCAGCGTCAACAGCAGCCGCTTCTTCATGGTCAGACAGTTGAGGCCGATGACGGCGCTGACCTGCAGGCAGGTAGCACCACACCACACCACACCACACCAGGCCACACCACACCAGGCCGCACCGGAGCGGGGTTGTGGAGTCAGTGAGCAGGTCGGCCTCGAGTGAAGTGCTGTGCTGCCAGGAGAATGAGGAGAAATCAGGAAGCGAAGGAAGAAGGGCTTGGAAAGAGCCCCCACAATGGCAGTGAGAACGGGCTCCCCTTCCTTCTTCCGAGCACTTGCGCGGCGTCCATATGCTGGGGCCCACCTAGCTTATCGTGTTCCTCTTCGCGCTCTCTTCCACATCCCCCTTGACCCCCTTAACCCGCGTCCCCTCTCTCTTTCCCACCAGTTGACCCGGCCGCATGCTGCGAGCCGCGGAAATGGCGTACGTGGACTTGGTCCACAGCACCTCCCAGCACTCCATGTTACTCGAGCCGAGAGAGGGTCTGCGGAGAGGGAGGGGGAGGCGGGGAGGGACGGAGAGTAATGCAAGGCCGGCGGAGCCCCTCCCCCCTTTCACACGCCCACACGCTCACGCAAAACCCGCTTACTATCCATGTAAATCCGTACCCCGGTGCAGCCGCCGCCTCGGCCGCCTCCTCAGCCGTCAACTGCTGCTGCTGCCGTCGCCGCCGCCACCGCCGCAGCTCCCGCTCCTCCTGCCTGCTGGGTCCGCCAGTACGGACGCCGCCCGCCTCCGTCAGCACCGCCTCGAAGAGCTCCACCGCCACGCGGCCCTGACTCCAAAGCAGCTCATCCACCCAGAACCTAGGGCGGGCGGGCGGGCGGGCGGGCGACGACGACGACGACCAAGGTACGGTGGAGGGGGCGGCGGAGGCGACGGGGGTAGCGGTTGGTGCTGGTGTTGGTGTTGATGGTCAGGGAAGTGAGTGCAGTCAGGGCTCGTGAAGCGGACGGAAGGGGGTCGAGTGTGAGGGGTTACTTCGCACTCGCCCGGTGGTTTCCCGGAGGGGTTGGCTGCGGCACCTCTCTTGGCTGTGGCACCCGCGAACCGGAGGAAGGAGGAAGGAGGAAGGGCTTCATGACGTCATGTTCCAAAGCGGCCTCGCGCATCCGGACCTTCCAGATGGAAATTGATCGACCCTCCTATTGTCACGATATGGCCCTGTGTACTCTGATGGCCTCCCTGCTCCGCACCTGAATGGGGCCCGCGGCGCCGCCGTAATCCGCTCCGGAACCAGGGCAACCCGCCGGAGATCCACACCTGACGTGGGCAGGTTAGTAATTACAAAGGAAGACAGTTGTGACGGTTATTGTAACCGTGGGATGCTGGTGGAGGTGACGATGTGCCGTGCGTGGGAATACACACATGCATGCCTGGGCCAAGGCACACGCACATACATACACCTACCTACCTACATACATACACACATTTACATCCAAAGGGTTTCGCAAAGGCAACCGGGAGCGGGTCTGTCCGGGTGCAGAGGGGGCAAGAGGACCCTACCCTCGCCTGCGACCCACATCTGTTCAGGGGGCTCCCTCTTCTTCTGTGCATCCTTGAGCCACCCAACCCATGTATGAGAGAGGCATCCGTCGCTGCTCACTGGGTGGAATGCGTTGGTCAAAAAGGGGGGGATGGGCGCCGCCACCGTTATGGCGATCGACCGGAAGAGCATGCGTCCGAAAGCCTGCTCTCTTTTTAGATCTTGCGCTTTGGCTGAGGTACCCTAGTGAGCATGCTGGGGCCGAAGTCGACTGCCGTGGATCTTCGGAGGCGAAGCCGGGATGCCGCCGCGTGACGGCAGCAGCAGTTTCCGGTCCACGGGCGACAAGGTGCTCCAGTTGCATGCTACATGCAATTAGTCTCTGTAGTACGGAATCCAAAATGCCGTGGAAATTTTACGGACTCGTGATGACCGTCAAGTGTCGAAATTCAACTGCATTCCACGTATTGTTCGGCTGGACGAGCAGGGATCGATTGCATATGGTTAATCAAAATACAAGTAGGAGTTAGTACAAGGACTGCAATCTACACGTTATGCGTGTACCATTTACCATGATGCTTAAGAAAACGGGGTGGACGATCAACTACCGCTGGACGTGCAGCCAACCGACGCCCTTTCAATTTGCACCGCACTCACAGTCTTGGAGCAAAATTGTCCTGCTTTCATCTTCTGAGGCACTGAAATTTTGCTGCTGGGTTTTCGCAAAAGCACTCGCAAACCTGCACACTTCCCAGAAAGGTTCCCGTTAAGCGGCTTCCGGCTTTGAGTACGCGAAACGCTCAGGTAACGATTTTAAATATCCTGTGCATGAAAATGTTTACAGTTTGGACAAGGCCGAGGCAGTGTTTTGAGGGAGGGATTCCGTTCGGTGGCGTTCCGGCGCCGTTTATTATTGGACCGAAATTGAAAGTGTTCTTCACATGTAAACGCGGGAACTGAACCCATGTTGGCATCCAACGACGACATGGCGTAGGCCGTAAGCCGTTTGAACACACGGAATTTGTTCATGCCAGCACGCACGACTGGATTTTTGACTCGCCACAGCTCGCACCCAGACGCTGTGTATGTTCGTGTGTTCGTGTTGCACATTGATCCGGGCCTGACGCGTTTGTGTGTATGTGTGTGCGTGTGTGTGTGTGTGTGTATGTGTGTGTATGTGTGTGTATGTGTGTGTATGTGTGTGTATGTGTGTGTATGTAATGTAATGTTACAGAGTGGGAGGCTTCTGGGCCGCTTTATCACATTGTCAGTTCTACGATTTATCATCTTATAGCACCATCCACCACTACCACACTATACTTCGCCATACGAACTGTAAGTCCAAGGCCGCGGGTCCAGCCGTCTAGGACCCCTCCTCATCCATTCACCCGAACAACCAAAGAGACGGAGGATTCGGCAATCGCCAACAATCCAGCGTGCGAATCTGGTCCATCAACTGCCACCTCAACTCCACATCTCAGCAGCTAGCCATAATCTCGCGCTCCCGACTAATTCGGGGGTCTCCCCAGGACCTTAAACCGCGAATCGCAGTAGTGTCAACCCAGACCAGAGTGTGTATGTGTGTATGTGTGTGTATGTGTGTGTATGTGTATGTGTGTGTATGTGTGTGTATGTGTGTATGTGTGTGTGTCTGTGTGTGTATGTGTGTATATGTGTGTCTGTGTGTGTGTGTGCGTATGTATATATGTGTGTGTACATGTATGCTCAGCCATATAACATAAACACGATGTCATGAACTACCGCCGTGTTCATGCTGAACCGTGCTTGCCTTGCCTTAACCGTTAACTAAATTAAGAAGTTGGTCGTTTGGGTCATTCGTTCGGTATCATAAGGATATCCCGTTCTTCTCACCTGCCTGCCTGCCCGGCCGGCAGTGCCTGGTAAAGATTGCAGCGACCAATCAATGCTCTGTAATGCGGCCACACTCAGAACGCGAGTATATCGTACGGGACAGATGACCTGCTGTCACGACATTTTAGAGTCACGTTCATTTTACCGTCTTTTATAATTGTCTGCTGTGTACAAAAGCCAATCAAGTCCTCAGATTTGGGAGAAGCACGTCGTGTGTACGGCCCCCCAGGTATTTGACGTTCTCATCTACAGCTTACTTCTCCGGACTCAAGGTGGCCTTGCTGAGGGCGCCCTTAGGCGGATAGCGCCTGAAAAAGATGTTGGGTTTCAAGTCATTGGACGTCCGGGGTGGGTGGGGTGAAAAAGTGGAACAAAGCCCTGCTCACCAAGCCAAAGCCACAAGGACAGTTTACCAGAGCCCCCGCTGATTCGACGCTAGGATTTCAGGTCCACTGCTGGCTCCAGGGGGGAGATGCAATCTCCACCGTAGCCTCCAGGAAGCAGCACCAGCGAGCTTTGGAAGCTGTAGGGGAAGGGGCACGGCGGTCGCGTTGCAGCCGCGGCAGGGGCCGCGCAGTAGACAGCAGTCGGAAGCAAGCTGTAGAGGGGATGTAGCAACGCGAACAAAGAAAGCAAAGAAACGCTTGGCGAGTAAGTCGGTCGGGGTCGGTCCGTCGACTATTTCTCCCCCGGCCGGGGCAAGCGCCAGAGCCAGAATGGCACGTTTGTGTGATTATTGCGGAATGTGGAAGATCATTCTAGATCGGCCTGAGCAGGATCTAGCCGGGTTCGCGCCTCTTTGCCCGTTATTGCGTTGTGGGTGCTTTTGCTAGTTTAGGCTCCAACAAATATGATTTCGAATCGGAGTGCTTCTTTCCGGCAGCGGAATCTTTTTGCTCCCTGTGTGCGTATAACGCAGCGGGCTTTAGTTCGGCGACAGGCACTGGCGGCACATGGAAAGTGACTGTGGAAGTGTAGGATCAATACCGGCAAAAGTCATTTGTTGTTTTTACCTATAGCATCATGCCTCTTTAGCTATTGTTGTTGGAATTTAAAGAACGTATCTTCTCGCATCGTCTCGCGTTATCTCGCGATATCAATTGACGACAAGGTGAAGGTAAGGAGACGAGCAGGAAGTAAATGCAGTACGCGACAGTCGGGACAAAATCTACCTTGTCCGTAAAAGAGCCTTGGCAGTTGGTCCGTTCGGGGGGGTAGTGCAGTTTCATTCGTTATTCGAGAAAAAGATTCCGGCGTTTCGCCAACTTGCGGCAGTTGCGGCTGCGTGTCGTACGCTCGGCCATCGCATACTTCCATCCAGAAATATCTCGCGAAGATATTTTACTGGGTCTACCCGTTGAAACATAATAGAATTTAAAATTCATAAGGATTCTCCTGTCTAATCCTCGTTTCAGTGCTACCATGCGTCAGTTCGCAATATCCGCTGGACATTTATGCCTGCTGCTCCTTGCCTGTACGCAAGGTAAGTACTTCTGTGAGTTATGATTCGTGTAGTGTGCATGCAGACTGCAATGTAGAGACATTGGCGCGGCGAAAACAATCTCCCGGCGTTTCTTGCGTGTTTCGGGATCGCGCGCAGCAGGCGGCGTCATGGGCCAAGGTACCATAAAAGTTGTTGGAGACCGGTTCATCCATCCGAAGGCAAGTAGTTGAATGTTATTGCCGGTGTGTTGGCAACAGAAACGCAGATTATTCGTACTGCGCCTTGCCAAAGCCGGAGGCGCCCACGCATGAATGCAGTTCTGGCGCTCTTACGTGTGAGCTTTACTCTGTTTAGCTTAAGTTCGCGATGCGCATTACCGTCCCTGTGGGGACTGCTGTGTTCTAGATCATTTACCACCTTCCGAAACTAGCCTTCAATTTGACCTATAGCTTAGTGAACACGCAGTTTCGTAAAACTTAATACTTACTTATAAAACTCTTCCTCTTCCTGGAGAGTTGTTATCGGTCGCAGACGCACCTTAGGTAGGCTACCATCACCTCGCGAAGCCTAGCACGTGCGTGAAATGTAACGGACAAACATGTAACAAAAAAACCTTTTTCACTCGATAAGTCTCGCCCGCTGCGTTTGCCACCTGCCGGCCACTCGAGTTTATTACACAAATTGTTACCATTCGACGGCATTCCTGTAAAACAAGGTCCTACCTAATGAATATTAATTTTACGTCATTCATGCAGGTGAAGACAGCAGTACTGCAGTGCTGGTGACCTGTGTTGGTCGAATCACCGTTTCGATGGATCAATCGTTTCGCAGTGCTGCATTCATCTATGCGACTGAATAACAAATAAAAACTATGTATGTTACCCCTACGCAGGGGACCCCCCAGGACTACCTCCAAACTTATGTTATTCTCCCTGTCGATCACACATCGCGCACGCCGCCCCTCGCTGTGGGTGTGGAGCTGACGGAGGGTTTTGTGTCCAAGGCCACCAAGCTGCCCAAACTGCTCAACATCCCTATCCCGATCGGACCCACGGAGACCTTCAGCTACTCTGCATTTGAACAGCCGGCAGCTTTCTTCCCGATGGTGGGCACCAACCCCTTCGGGTAAGCGCGGGACTAGTGGTCTATTTTTTTTAAGCCGCACGGCACCGACGACGATGGTAGCTGTAAAACCCTGAAGTTACTAGCTACCAGTTCCATTAAAATACCGAGGGCGGGGTAGAGTGGCCTGTTGTTGAAGCCCTATGGGGGTTCCGTGGTACCGTTAAGGGAAGAAGACATGTATCCCGAAACACGCAGACTTTCCTCTCTTAAGCTGTCTTAAGCTCTTTATTTACTTCGTTATCCACATCAAGCGCAGTAACGTGTCCTGCTGCTTAACAAGTGTATATGTACGAAAGCCAAATCTTTTTTATATACGCCATGTATACTACAAGGGCAGTCGAGGCCTTCAACAGCGTGTATGCGCGAGGTCTTGTTTTGCTACTACCTGCCAGTCGGTGCTTTCCGTTCCATGCACTTGCTCTGCTCCGTTTTTCTATGTGCGTGGTTTCGTGCAGCCCATTTAGCCGAGAGGCCGCACCTGCCACCCGTGATCACATTTATATATTTGCTGAGTAGCAGTGTGTCTACACTGCTACTGTAACAACCACACACCACACACACATACACACATACACGATCTACATGATGGTTTAATGCGCCAGCTAACGGTCGTCCAGCTTTTCATGATCACGCTGCCTTGAGTGAGCGCCGCGTCCTCCGGCCACCCCTTCCTCCACCCCTTACCTTTTCCCTTCTTGCATCTTCTTTCTGCCGTACGTTCGCTCGCGTGTTGTTAGGTTTGTATACTGGTCGTACGCATTCAACGGCCACCCTGGAGTCGGTAAGTGCTCTAATTTCATGCGTACTTAGGACGATGTTTACTTAGAGCAGCCGCGAGTGTGTTTAACACATGACGGTGATGGTGATGGTGATGGTGATGGTGATGGTGATGGTGATGGTGATGATAACCTTTAAATATCTCTGTACATGAAGTATCAGTGCTGAGAGCCTCAGGGGTTTCCTGGAGGGGCTGCCGGACTCGCCCGGACTCACCCTCGCAGACTACCTACCAGTTGAAACGCTTCACCACGTACCGTGTTACACATTTGTGCGTCGTGCAGTCGCCACCGAACAAAAGCTAATAGCTACAGGAGCTATTGTTACCCGCGGCACATCATCGCCATTGACTAAAATCCTTTTGGAATGGCGGTTATATCCTGGAGACGTATTCCTAACATACTCCTTTTCCTTTCACGTGCGGGAACATGGCGCAGGCATCTACGACGTACCACACTTCGATTTCCACTTCATGTTCCCGTCGTACGATTACTGGTGGAACCAGGAGTGGAATGTGAACAGTCACGGGCCCTGCATGGGCGGCAGTAATGCAACCTTCTTCAAGACCTTCAAGCCGATCCCATCTTGCTGCTGGCCAGGAAGCACACTAGGCCCTATCATTCAAGCGGGGGACTTCGTTTGGGGGGTGAGAGTATGTGCGAAGCAGCACATGGACATACATACATACATACGCACATACGCACATACGCACATACGCACACATGCAGCCAGCGCCATCGTGAAGACCTGGTCGTTCCCTAGAAGAAGAAAACGTCCAGGCATGGCATGGAATGCATACATACATACATGCATACATTTATACATACAATATCAACTTGCGAGCTGACCAGGAACTAAGTTGATGCGCCGTTGATCCGCTAGATTTGGTTGGATGCTGGTGGTGAGTTGCCGAACCCAACGAATACATTCTGAAGTCGGATGGGGTGACGGATTAGGGTGCCCCTCTAGCAGGGGAGAGCAGGGACTGCCCCTGGAAAGGGGGCCGCTGGCGAAGTGTAACAACATACATACATTTAGGCAGGCGGCTGGCAGAGGTTAAGGCCTGACTTCTGCTCCCAGTCGACCCAGTCGACCCGGGTTCAAATCCGCCTGCCGGCTCCTCGGGTGTTTGAGGAGTGATGAAATGGGAGGTGGCCCCCCATCTTATGGACGGTGTAGGACGTGATAATATCAACTTGCGAGCTGACCAGGAACTAAGTTGATGCGCCGTTGATCCGCTAGATTTGGTTGGATGCTGGTGGTGAGTTGCCGAACCCAACGAATACATTCTGAAGTCGGATGGGGTGACGGATTAGGGTGCCCCTCTAGCAGGGGAGAGCAGGGACTGCCCCGGGAAAGGGGGCCGCTGGCGAAGTTAACCACCCTGTAACAACATACATACATTTACTGAATCCCCACCCGACCTGCTTGCCTGATATGGCGATTGCGGTTGCCACCCGTGAACCCTTCGACCCTCCCGTGATGACACCTTCCACCTTCCTGTTTCGCTCTTTGCTCTTGTTGCAAATGTGCAGATGGGCTCGCACTTGTGGGACACGGTGAGTGAGTACGAACGTACGGCAATGGATGTGTAACCTGTATGTGCATCTGCTAACAAATGCCGCGCATCTTGCTGTGTTGTATGGATAAATGGTTTATATGAATGGATGCATGCCGTTGGGCAATACCGGGGGTTGGATGCTTGGACAGATACACAAGTACATACAAACACAGAGGATTGTACGTGACATCATATTCCCTGTTGCATCAAATACATGTGCATAGTACACGGAATAACCATCAATTGATTTAGCAATCGATGTAAAAATTGACATCTAGCCATCAATGTAATGGTGTCAGTTTTAAAGGTTCTGCGTGGCTGCGTGCGTGCGTGCGGGCGGGAAGGCAAAAGGGTTTCGACACATCTCTTTCCACTATGCGCGAGGTACTACTACCACTGCCCCACCCGCGGCATACATACATACATATATGCATACATACATATGTCCGCACGCGGACTTAGTGGACCTTGGTTTACGCTCGTACGATCGTACCCCTTCTCGCCTGCATATGCAGTCTGCAGCCGAGTACAATCCTGTGCGCCGGTTCAACTTTACCCATGTAAGTGTGTGTGAGATAAAAAGCTGTATAGCTCCTTTGGTCGTCGCAATGCCGTGTGTGTGTATGTTATTTGATCACGAAGTACGAGATGATGTTGATCTGTTGCCGCCCTGTACGGCACACGCATGCAGATCTACGGACAGTACGACGGCAAGATTCAGTTTTTCGAGAGCATGGTTACGGTGTCCACTATGCAGAGGCCCCGGGGCTACCAGGAGTGCATCACACTAACAGTACGTGCGCACATCTGTACGACAGCCTTAGGCGTATACACATGTTAGCTGGTATCCATTATCACCGTGGGATTGCTCGTACATACCGCATAGTACCAATGCGTGGCACCTCCGTACACACCAGCTAGCTAAACATCTCTCTGCAGTGCCCTCCGCGGTCGCCGTACATGCATGCATGTCCCGTCCGGGTGCTGGGTTGTTAGTGGTCGTGGGTGGTAGTGGGTGGGTGGATGCAACGACCAACGACCAACGACCACAGCAGGTGGGCCTATAGGCCCTACTCCTCATGTTTTCAACGACTGGCTGTTTGCGTGTTCGTGTACGTCATCTGCAGAACAATCCGAGGGTCATGGACGAGGCGCGGCACATTCCCAGCCGCCTCTGCGTTGTTCACAGCGCCAAGAGCATCCTGGTTGAGTACCGGAACTTCGCACCGTAAGTCCGTCCGTACATGCATGACGCATGCACAACCGTATATGACGGTTCGGTTATTAGTGCGCGTATGCATTGGGAGTTCTCGCTTGTTGCTGTCTGCCCGTCTAGTAGCCTCTGAACTGCCCGTCTATCTAGAGCTATGAGGGGTCTTAAAAGATTAAATTTACCTTCATAGCTCTCTAACATCTTTCACACTCGTTACTAACGGGGCGAGGCGGGTAAGCGAACACCGTTTGAGCGACTAAGTGCGTGACTAACATCAAAACCCAAAATACTGTAAGCCTTTTCACCGCTGCCTGCCGCCCTGGCCAGCGACGGAAGCGAGCGCGCTGCAGGTAAACTTAGGTAAACTATTTGACGTATACGGATGAAGTTGTTCAGCAGCAGCAGCAGTGGCAGCAGTGACCAAGCGGGCCTAAGGTGGCCTGTCACGAATCGTCGCGATGTCGCCCCTTGCGCCCCCACACAGACATACATAGATAACATGCATGTTGGTTGCCCCCTACCAGTGCAGTGACGGTACTGCCCGGTTGTTTTTGCCGTACAACATGCATTTATCCGTGCGAATGCAGGGTTCTGGGGGGCTGTACAAACACCTGCGGCGGTCAATTCGCGGGCTCCTACCCTAGTACCGCACCCATGTTGCCCCCGGAGCTGTGTTCCGTTCCAGCTTGATTATAATACAGACGTACGGACTGGTTACATGTACGGCAATAGTGCAGGATGCCCGGCAGCTGGGAACGCTGGGTCAGCTCGCTCCGGGTGGCTGCGGGCCGCGGTTGTGCGGTTGGCAAGGGCAGGTGTCGCGGCGCGCATGTTTAACCCGGCACTGCTGGCTCCTTGCTTGTGGCGATTATTGGATGTTTTCACGAGCCTATCTCGCAGGTTCGGCCGGATTTCCTTAAAAAAACATTACGAAGCAAGACAGGGCGAAATGTTTCATGTTCGTTGCAGCTAAGTTGTTGTGAGTACCGTTTCTTTGCAGTCTGGTTGTCTTCCTTGCACGTGCGCACCGTTATCTCAAAAATTCGCAAAATCTATTTCGCAGATTCGCAAAATCTATCTCCCAAAAACGCAAATCTATCTTGCAGATTTCGCCGCGTTTGGATTTCACAGCTTGCTCGTCGATGCAATCTACGTGTCCCATCGATGCGAGACAATGAAGCCGATAGCTTAATTCGATACCATGGATGCATTTGGATGGACTGTAGTAAATCTACAGTAGCAGCAGTTGTGATCTAGAACTTGGACGGCTAGCGATCTTTATAGTTCGCCGCCATCGCCGTCATCATCATGAACCTTCATGGGCTCGTAGCAATATACTGCACGGATGCGTCAAAGCGCTTTATAATATCTAATCATCCGTTCGAGGAACTCATTCCTGTGATGCCTGTGTAGCTTTCCTTCTCCGTATGCGGGGTATGTCCATAGTCCATTGCTTGAGGGTTGGTCTATGTTGGTCTGCAAGTGTGAGGACCATAGTTTATTCTCCAGGTCGTTGGACGGCCAACCCACGCGCGCGGGCGGTCCTGCTACTTCGAAAGACCTTCGCATGATCTGGAGCTGCTACGCACGTTTCTGAAGCACCACTCATCGTGTGTTGTTAAGGGAGCTTGGCTAATGACCCCTCCACAGGGTTATCCTTACGAAAGGGACTGGGTTTTACAATGTGTTGTGTGAGTATATACAACTTGCTGTCACCACCTGGTTTGCCATGATCCTATGGGGTCTCAGGTGCTTTGCGAAGCTGCACACGGACCTGGATGAAAAGCGAAAGGTCTATTTCGTTTCATCATACTCGATCATTCTTAGATCTGTCATGGTAAAGTTGAAGGCGCGGTTTGGTGATTACTGGCGGAATCCACGTCTTTTTGCTACACCCTCCGGGAATGGTGTCGGACAAGCAAAAGGGTTAAACCAGGGGTTAAGATGTGCCGGCATACCCATTGGATGGGAATGCCGAAACACACAACATGCTACATACCTGCGACGTCTTACTGCTGTGGTTTCGCCTCGGGGCGTGGACTTTGGAGGTTGTAGCCGACCCGGCGGTCAGTCGCGCCAAGTTTTGAAAGCTGGTGTAGGATCTGTGGCAACCGTAATGCAGTCGAAGATGAGTTTTACGTGTTGCTAAAGAGTGACCCGCCTACGACGACCTAGGGTTTTAGGTGTACGCCAGAATGATATCGAGGTGTACGCCAGAATGATATCGAGTACGTGCACAATATAAGGTCTGTCATGATGAGGACGAACTTTCGAGTTGATGCCTTCTCTTGCACATGGCGCTCATAACCCCTTTTTTCTTCTTTTTGACTACGCTAGAACTCGCACGCCACGAGTCTCCTGGCTCGCCACGGCCTTGCGAGCTGTCGTGAGCTTGTAACTTAACATAAATAATACCACATAACGTGGATTGCCAGCCCCCAGTTCTACAATAAGTCGGTTTATGGTTCATACGCCGTGAGAAAGCTTGTTTAAAAGATTTCCTCGTGCAGGTATTGTTTGATGTGTATGTATGCACGGGACATGCTTCAATATGGTCTCGCAGCGTGACCTGAATGACCCGTCTCAGAGCCTCAGCGTATCAGCTCGAGCGGGGAGACTTTTTACTAGGTACAGTAGAGCCAGACCGGCTCAAGTTCAGCGCCCATGTAGAGCGCAGGTCAGGCAGGAGAACGTCCCCAGCCAACCCCTTCAAGGCAAGAAACGGCCCAATCCAGAATTCCTACCAGAATTGTCTGTAGGACCACTTTTTGACCCACTTCCTCGACCCACTTCCCAGGGCTTGTGTTTTCCTGCCAGTTCGTGACGTTTCCTGGAAAGGCCTTTCCATTTACGCCTTTCTAAAGAAAAGGGCAGATGTTTGGAAATTGCATGAAACTGCAGGAATCGTTCGTCTAATGTTGGCCCAGGTGACTTTCCAAACGGCGCTTTACCATGCAGGCGAGGCTGTTGCAAGTCGTACAGGCTCGAGGCAGTAACAAGCTAGCTATCATTCTCCATTAACGCGGCTTGGATAGCAAGCGATCTTTCAAAATCAGTGCTATGACTGCGGCAGACACGCCGCGATCGACACCATCTTACAGACCTCACTAACCTACAGCCTCAGAAAGTTCAGAAGGTTGAAATTCAAGAAGCCATTCCTAATCTCCCTCTCGCAGACATAACAACAGCCAGCCCGTACACACGTCAAAAAATCAACAGGCCACCACACCTGCCACCGCCAATCGTAGGTGTTCTGCCCTGCCAATCATACTTTTTTCTTTGTCCCTCCTCTTCCACGAGTCTGCCCCGCCACGTTACAACCAACCAAACACAAACCAGCCGTCTTCCCTCCCTCCCACCCTCCCTCCGTGTCTACTTACCAACGGGCGTTACGATGTGTAACGTTGTAACAGCCACGACGCGAACGATCGCGCTGCCAGCCTCCGGGGCCGCTGCTCACCCACCGCCGCTACAACTTTCCTAAACCCCCGTGCATGCACAACAACCTAGATCTATCGTTCTGTTCTGGACACTGCTGGAAGACCG